GGGTAGGGCTGAGATTATCTCGTAGGAGATCCCCAGGCTGTGAACAAGCTAAGTGGAGGAACTTTCCTGAGGAGGTTCTTTTGTATATGGATTGTTTCCTGAGGAGGTTTCCTGTTTCCAATCCACTTGCAAAAGAACCTCCTCAGGAGGTTTTCAACCCCTCTCCCCCAATGCTAATGGAAATGGGGGGGGGTGTCTGAAAACTGTATTATGGTACCATGTGGATGTTAGGTTTTATGGATCAGGGTTTTAGATTGTTAATGTATTTTATATGATGGACCTCCTGATGGCACCTGGTTTTTTGGCCACTGTGTGACAGAGTGTTGGACTGGATGGACCATTGGTCTGATCCAACATTGGCTTCTCTTATGTTCTTATGTAACATCACTACAAACTGGAAATCCATCATACCTATATCTGTACTCTCTTTTCAGACTGCAAAGATTCAAATATCCATATGGCTCTGTCTTTACAAAAAAGGGAACAGTGAGTCCTAGCATGGAGCCTGTGGATACCAACCATGGTGCTCACTGATTTATTTCCTAGTCTCCACTTCCCTCTTCTCCAAACCATGTTTTCCAAAGCTAAATCGCAGCTTTATTCCTACTCAGTGGAGCAGGAGGTGCTCCAGAAGAGCCCAGAGGCCTTCGTGTCAGCAGAGAATAGAGCCCCCATTTGGTAACAGCTGCCTGCATCATAGTAGGATCTGTGGCCAGGGCCGGCCCAAGGCGAGGCTGTGCCCTATGCGAGGCTGCAGGCTGCAGGTGCCAACCTCCCGGCGGGCCCTGGATCGGGGCGCTGAAGTTCGCCTCCCCCCGCCAAAAGCCAGTGCCGATCCCCGAGGCTCCCCTCCACGTCCCTCCACGTCCTTCCCGCCTGCCTGGACCCTCTCCAGCGACCCATGGCCGGCAGGGAAAGGTGCCGGCAGAGCAGGCGCATGAAGAGGGGGGGCGCGCTTGCTGCCGCCTGCTGGGGAAGCCAAGGCCGCCGGAGCTGCTGCAGGCGCCACCAGGCAGGAGGTAAGCGCGCCCTGCAGAAAGAAAGCCCCGCAGCCTCAAGTTTGCGCACTGGGGGGGAGGATTGTGTGAATGATTCTCAGCGGAAGCGGTGGAGAGATCGCGGCCTCTGGGGGCCAAGCGACGGCGGCGTTTCGCCCCCCCCCCCCCCCGTGCACAAACTTGAGGCCGTGGCACTTTCTTTCTGCAGGGCATGCTTACCTCCTGCCTGGCGGCGCCCATCCAGGGCCTCACGCTCTAGGCGAGTGCCTAGTTGGCCTAGCGGGAGAGCCGGCCTTGTCTGTGGCCTCGCTCATAAACCTGTCCTATTAGGGCAGGGTTGGTTGAGTGTCTGTTCTTTGATATGTCACCACCCCGAACTAAGCACTTTTACATTTACTGGCAGTCTGAGATTCACCTGGAAAGGCTGTCTCTGTCCATGTTCAAAGGGCAGAGTTTCCCAGCTACCACTTCCCTTTCTCTGGTGATACTAGGAGTGGGACAGTCTGCTTTCTTAAACAAGGAAGAGTTTTTTCCTACAGCCTAACAAACCAGGGCACATAACAAAGGGAAAATGACTACCGTACATAATAAACTATAGCAGATCTAGGAAAAGAAAAGGAAGATCACAATCTCTAATATAACTTTAATGTTACCATTGTTTACTTCTGCATCCCTCCTTCTCTAATATAACTTTAATGTTACCATTGTTTACTTCTGCATCCCTCCTTTAGACACATCGTTGGAACAAACTCAGACCCCCATTGGAACTGATCCCTGGCATTTGAATAACCTGAATGGGGTTGCTCATATCTTTTAACTCTTCCTGCTGCAGCTGGCTAGAAGATCCTTACCCAATCCAGATTTAGGGAGTACTCTCTCCTCATGGGACTGTAGGCTCCTTACCTTCAATCACCACAAGGTTCTAAGGTTGCCCGGTCCCTTGGAGCAGCTGGCGGAGGTGGAGGTGCACTTACCAGGAGCAGGGAAGAACACCAGAAATTAACATGATGTGCTTATCTGACCCAGAAGTGATGTAGGAATGTTGGGGGGGCGACATTCTGGTTTTTGGGCAAAACTATATGGCAGAATTAGCTTCTAGCATAGAGTTTTGCCCAAAAACCAGAGTGTCCCCCTGACATCCTTGACGTGCCTATGTCACTTCCTGGTCATGTAGGCAAGTCATATTAATTTCTGGTGTTCCTCCCTTGAGGGGGTAACCCCCCCTGTTGGCCAGCTGACCAGCAGCAGAGAGCTGGGGGATGAAAGCAGGAGACCTCCACCCTCACCAGGGGGGTCTGGCATCCCTATGGGGCTTACATCTCACCAATGTAGTAATGGAAATATGCATACGAAACAACATTCTCCAAAAATTATGTGGTACAACTTGAGGTGCGTCTGCTAAAACGCTTAGATGCTCGTTTTTCGGGTTGGTGTATAGGACTGTGGAATATGGTCTTCAGTGTGGCTCAATAGCCCCCATTTCCACAAACTTGATGTCCAACTCAATACAAATCCTGCAACCACAAATTTTTGATCTAGGGAATGAATGGTTGCAAACACAGATGCAATCAGTTTCACCCGATATCCATAACCTGATAAACACCAAGGAGAGGCCCATAGGATTTGACTTGCCACATAAATTATGGAAGATGGCTAATAGAATACAAACAGGCTTTGGCAGTTGTGCAGGACCCAAATGTGATTGTGGTGCAGCCCGCCAAACGATTTTCCATCTGTCACAGGAATGTGAGTGTCGTGGTTTCCAGGGAGAAGTGACGGAGCTCTTTGAACTCTCCCCAGCTGCAATTGAGTGGACTGAAAATTTAGATATTAGTATTTAGGGGGATTACCCAATTGTTCTGCATATCCGTTATATCAACATGGTTACTTATATTATATTCTTCATGTGTGTAACTCTGCCATACGATAAATAAATAAATAAATAAATAACATGATTGTGTTGTTTCTTTTTTTTCAGTTAAATTTTTTATTTTCAAAAAAGTGGGATACAAAAGGGAAAGGGGAAAGGAAAAGTGTAAATTCATCCAAAGTTATCAGATATCATGAATACTTGCATACAACAAGTAAAACTATATTAATAAAAATACATTGTTCAGATATAGAAGCAGCAAATAAAACATCATTATTACAGTATTTAGGAATAAGTTATCTCTTTGAAATAAGAAACAAAATATTTCAGAATATTCAGCAATAGTCAAATAAAAAGAAATGAGATTACATCTTTAACAATTAAACAAATTTCTACACAAAAACAAATTTTTAAACCATTGTTAAAAACTGGATATTATCTTAATCATTTATCACATTATAAGTCTTATTTTTACTAAATATCTTAAATACTTAATGGAGCATTAAATAAAGAGATTTAAAATCTAATCGATATCATTGTAACCTTTTATGTAATATTTAGATAAATTCAAGAGATTTCAAGAAATTTAACTACTCCCATAATACGAGTAATAGGCTTGCTATTTCTGCTGAAATTCTTTCAGCAGTCTTTTATTTATATAGTTAGTTTTCCCATTGTCGCAAACTCAGCTAATTTTTCTTTCCAAATCTCTGTTGTGGGAGATTGTGCTGTTTCTTGAGACAAGTATGTAAGGAAGTTTGTTATTATACAGTGTATTAAAAAAACCCTGACAATCCTTCCACTTCACTCAGGGCTGACTGGGGGGCAAAAAATGGCCCTGGAAAAGGGCCTCACCCCTCACCCCGAATGACTTCAGAGGTGAAGTTTTGCTCTATGTCCATTTTCTCCATGCCATACATAATTTTATAAACCTCTTTCATGTTTCCGACCCCAGTAACTGTTTCTCTACATTAAAAAGATCCAAACATATAGAGTCTTCTTGCAAGAAAGGAACTCATTTTGATTGCCTTTTTACTAGTTAGTTTTAATTTACTAAAATAATTTAGTAAAATAAGTTTTACTAGTTAGTTTTAATTATTTGTTACGGAACGGCTGATGAATTGTTTTTAGATGTTTATGATATTTATTGTTATGTTTTTATTATATTAGCCGCCCTGAGCCTGCCTCAGCAAGGAAGGCGGGGTACAAAATTAAGCAAATAAATAAAATAAATAAACACTATGTTTTTACCAGTTTATATAGCATCCTTGGGGGGAGGTGTCAGTGCAATCTTGCAAATGTGGCTGCATCACAATTTTTTTTTTGTTTTTTTTTTTGCATTCTCCCAGCTACTAACAACTAGAAATTTCAGGAACAATAGTACTAGTGGAATGTCTTTTCTTTTGAATGAGTGCACACTGGAGTCTTACAGCATCTTTGTAATATTTGTAATATCAGCAGAGCAAAAGAGTGAGAGACTGAGTCCATGGGTACGTTTGTAAAAATATAAAAGTTTACTAGAAAACTAACATGGGGAAAAGGTAAACAGGATGCAAAAATAACAAAGCACTAGATCCCTACATCTTTACTGCTAAGAAGATGCTACAGGAACAGGAATGGCATCCCTTCTTCTCCAACACACAAAGGCAGTAAAAGGGGGACTTCAATATGCTAAATAGCCAATACACTGATTTCCAATCACAGGTCTAAAGTTCAGGTCATTATAATAAGACCTCCCACAAGATTCTCCAGGCTTTTCTACTTAGTAAACAGATTGGGTACTGTTATGTATTGGGACTGAATCATTCCTGACTGAATCACCCCAGCGACTGGCTGAGCTTAGAGCACAAGAACAATAGCCTACCAGGATTTTGAAAGTAACCAATCTAGTAGTAAAAGTAAAAGGTAAAGGTTCCCTTGCTCGAAAGCCAGTCGAATCCGACTCTAGGGTTGTGGTGCTCATCTCTGTTTCAAAGCCGAAGAGCCAGCGCTGTCCGAAGACGTTTCCGTGGTCATGTGGCCGGCATGACTAAACACCGAGGTGCACGGAACGCTGTTACCTTCCACCGAAGTGGTGCCTATTTATCTACTTGCAATTTCTTGCTTTCAAACTGCTAGGTTGGCAGGAGCTGGAACTAGAGATGGGAGCTCACTCTGTCATGCGGCACCCAGGTCTCGAACTGCTGAACTACTGACCTTCCACAGCCTGCAGTTCAGCGTCTTAACCACTTGAGCCACCGCAGCTCCAAATCTAATAGTAATGTTATGTAAATATTACTTATTTATTTTATTTTATTATTTATTTGTCTTTATACCCCACCCTCCCTGCCTATCACTGGGAGTGGGGTGTGTTTGGATGTGGCAACTGCATGCTATTTAACAGAGCTGAGGCTCTGGAGTCTTGTCTTGCTCTTGATGAAATCACAAATAAAGTAGAGCTGATCACTAGACTCCAGCCTGCTCATCCATGGAACCCACTATTTAACAGGTACAATAAACATGTGACTTCCTGTTGACTAACACAAACAAAATTAACTCTATAATTACTGAAGTGTTTTTAACTTGCTAAACCCAGCAAATATCCACTGCCACTCCTTGGTCAATGGCCCTCATTCCCATCAAATGACAAAAACATGGTGATTGACCCATTCC